GCACATTAGTGGTAGAAGGTGTGGGCATCAGCCTGTACCATACTAGCTAGCAACCCAATCTCGACTCAATTAGGCTCAGGTCACGTATCTGAGGTGATGGAGGGAGGAATAGGAGTGCAATCTGTTGCTAGGATCCGACTAAACCGAGTGTTTGGACGAACCGAGCAGCATCCGACGTCCTGTCAGTCTGACTGGCAGGCAAGGTTGGAGTCTGTGGATGACTGGCCGATGGCTAGACAGACCTAAGACACTTGGGGGAAAGCCACTACTGATAGCCGTCTTCGGGCGTGATTCAGTGGCTGGTCTCCTCCTCTTGCGGGGTGCATGGTGCAGACGAGGATGGTCGTAAGGCCTGAAACGTGCTGTACCGGCCCGCCCCGTGGGAAACTCAGTGGGGGCAAATGGATGGTAGGGGGGCGTATGTGAGCCATGCTCGGGTACACCCGCTTGCCGCACAGTGGACTGATTAGCGTCAAGTCCCCTGTGCCACTCAGTGTACAATTCGGCCCTGCTTGCAGGGCAGACGGGGAGTTCGCTCCCTGCCTAAGATAGTTACCTGGTTGATTCTGCCAGTAGTCATATGCTTGTCTCAAAGATTAAGCCATGCATGTCTAAGTATAAGCATTTATACCGTGAAACTGCGAATGGCTCATTAAATCAGTTATCGTTTATTTGATAGTACCTTACTACTTGGATAACCGTGGTAATTCTAGAGCTAATACATGCTAAAAGCCCCGACTTCGGAAGGGGTGTATTTATTAGATAAAAAACCAATGCCCTTCGGGGCTCCTTGGTGATTCATAATAACTTAACGAATCGCATGGCCTTGTGCCGGCGATGGTTCATTCAAATTTCTGCCCTATCAACTTTCGATGGTAGTATATGGGACTACCATGGTTTCAACGGGTAACGGGGAATTAGGGTTCTATTCCGGAGAGGGAGCCTGAGAAACGGCTACCACATCCAAGGAAGGCAGCAGGCGCGCAAATTACCCAATCCCGACACGGGGAGGTAGTGACAATAAATACTGATACAGGGCTCTTTTGGGTCTTGTAATTGGAATGAGTACAATTTAAATCCCTTAACGAGGAACAATTGGAGGGCAAGTCTGGTGCCAGCAGCCGCGGTAATTCCAGCTCCAATAGCGTATATTAAAGTTGGGGTCGGGGGTGATGATCTTCCCTTCTGTTTTGGGTGAACAGAAAGGGGCAAGACGCTAATGGGCTTAAGCGAGGTACGTGGAATATAGAGCTCGTCTCTTGCCCACCGAACGAACACTCCTACACATCGTTCTAATAACATTTTGTCACCTAGTATCCACGTTCTCGATCGTGACCCTGTTAAATAGTTCAACATAGTAAGTCATCTGAACATTGAACAAACACTGAGAGATACTAATGGTACCGTCCGTTCTAGGGAATGGAGCTCGTACCTTTCAATGAATCACCCATGAGCACGCCAAAAAGAAAGCGCGATTCGAGCAAGGCAGAGAGGTCATCGATTCGAAAGTCAAAGAAGAGGGAAAAGCGACTGGTTATCCGCACAGTTGATAATGCACCAACTGTAAATGATGAGACTACAGTTGAATGCGATGACCCCATAAATGACGATAACCCAATCGAAGTTGACCCGCCCGCTGAAGCCAATGTGGCTGAAGAGAGACCCATCAAACGTAGAGTATGTATGGTACACTCTTTAGACGATTTAAACTAACTGGCCTTAGAAAAATAAAGGCGAACCTCGCAATGCATGCCCTCAATGTGGTGGTCCACATTGGAAAAAGGACTGCAAAGGCAAGGGGAAAGCTTCTACGAAAAAGCCAGCAGTTGGGAAAGGAGGGAAAATCGGGGGAGACAGGAAAACAAAGCGAAGTGAGGTTGAGGAATCACGTTTCGCCGACGGTTCCTTTCTTGTGTTCAAAGCTCCAGAAGCCATAAAGGACACTATCACCGAGGAAGACGTTTCCAACATCTGCGAAAGTGCAGGAGTAGTGCGAAACGGAATGTCAGTTGGCTCGTTATCAAAGACTCACTGGTTTTTACGATACGAAAGCCATGCTGAGGTTGAAGAGGTTGTGGGGAAGAGTATAACTTTCCCAAAGGAATTGGGCCTTAAGAAGGACGAACAGCAGGAAATTGTGCCATACCTAGCAGATGGGCCTAAGGCCTTTTACCTATCAAACGCTGGCCCTTTCAAAGACCTGGAAATCCAGGAGCTTATCGAGGATAAATTCGCGGGGCAAAAATACTGGATGGGTAAAAAAATGCTTGGGAGAATTAAGACTCCCAAACGGTTATTGATATTTGAGAAGAGTCAAGGACTCTACTCGTTCGAGGTCGGGGACAAGGCGGGATTTTTGCTTCGGTTTAGGGCAATAAGCAGAACAAAAAAATGTGGCTACTGTGGGAAGGAACACGAGGGGGGGGGCGGGCTCCTGCCCTCTAATACAACCATGTGAACCTAGCGCGGAATTAAAAAATAGGCTAGTGAGAATGCCTATCTAAATACCAAATGATTCATTGTTTTATAACTGTTGTCCCACAAACACCATGTCTTTTATTGTGACCTCGTTGAATTGCTCGTCTCTATCGATAAATCGCCTAAACACATTAATTAATTGGAATATTATAAACAAAACAACTATTCTCCTCTTACAAGAGGCTAGGCTAACTGATGAAGACTTGAGAGTTTGCCTCCAAATCTTCCCATCAGTTGATATTAGAAGTTGCTGCCCCTCACTATCGTCAGGTGGGCTAATCACTATAGTGAACAAAAAAGTTGCAAAATTCGACGACAGTAACGGAGACGGAGTGGTAGTTAGCGACGAGAGCGGCCGCCTTCTGGTGACTGATATTAAGCTTCACAACACTTTGATCACTGTTGGTAACATTTACTGCCCTGCCAAAACGCCTCAATGGCTTAAATGGTCAAAATGGACAATCAATGAGCTCCCAAGGGGGATAGTTGACTGTGACATAATAGGTGGTGATTGGAATCAGACTATGACAGTCAAGGATCGAACATCCAAACGACCACCATCCAAGGAGGTCAGGGAGACATTCGACACGCTATTAGATATTCTTGGCTCGTCCGATGACACACTAATAGACTCGTATGACTTCAAAGGAACGGACCATATTGAATACACCCACTTCAACTCCAATGAGGGAGCATCACGAGTGGACCGAATATATATCGCATCCTCATGGAAGCATATGATTACCCGAATTGAAATCAAGCCACCACCCATATCAACGGACCATAGAGCAGTGAGTCTATGCCTCCAAATGTACCAAGATAGGGCAAAAGCTGGGAGATGGCGCTTAAACCCCCTACTACTCAAACACAGAATCATCAGTAAGGCACTGGATGAGCTGACATTGAAAAGCTGGGAGGCTATGAAGGCCGATGCCATCCTGATCTTACAACAAGCATCCGCTGGTGCTAATCGCAAAAGGAATTGTCAACTACAAAGTCTCAGTAGAAGAAGACGGAACTTGACCCGAAAATTAAGTCATACCCCCACAATAAGCGTACTGAGACAGCTCAGACAGCTACATATTAGGGAGCAGGTGCTAACAGAGGGCAAGGCAAATGATTTTACTTACAAAGTAAGGGCCAAGCACCATATCCTTAACGAAAAGCCGAATAAATGGTTCTTCAACAAATTGAGGGACTATAATCCGGGCTCCATAAAAGCCCTATATGATAAGGAAGGAACATTGATCACAGACCCTGAAGGAATTGCTAGAGTAACATCTGAATTCTGGGGACCACTGTATCAACAACGTGAAATTGATATCATCGCACTTCACGAAATGCTGGGTAACTGGGGGAACAGAATATCGCCATCCGAAATAAGATACATCAGCAGTCCAATAACAGGATCTGAAGTATGCAAAGCCATATCAGGTCTAGGGTATGGCAAAACCCCAGGAATGGATGGCTTACCTGGAGAATTCTACAG